AAAATGGCATTCAAGCTTAACAGTTCTGCAGTAATACTTTGCACTCCTCTTGTTTGCTTCTAAAAACACATGCTAAATTTATGGGTAAAATTCAGCCTTTGAGCATAATTAAGCAGGCAAGTTCACATCAAAGCTTTGTTTCATCATCTTTAGACTGATCTGCTGGAAAAGACAGCCGGTCCTTATTAAACACCCTTTTAACGTTGCAGTTTTAAGTAAGTTGCATCCATGTTATATAAACATTAACAAATAATTAACTAAAGAAAAGCTAGTACCATCTAATCGTGACAGCTTAACATCCTTCCACTAGTGCACTATAAAGTATTTATCAGTTCAAGCAGAACTTGTTCTTAAATAAATGCCTCCAGATTTTAAATTAACAAGTCTGATACAGCAGTTTGTACACTTGGAAGTACAAGAGTACTCAAAAGCAGATTTTGAGGGGAAGTAAGGCAGGGAGTGGAGTTCAGTGGAGTTCTGAAGTAAGGAACTAGAGAGGAAATCAATCAAATCTGTAACAGTCCCAAGCGACTTGAGCTGCAGAAACCCTGTTAAGTCACCAGCTGATGAATTATCATCACATTCAGAGTGCCCAGTTTCATGCAAACACATAAGGAAATACACAATTTTGTTGTTAATACTGAGAGTTGGTTTCAATTACATAAATATATGTTTCCTTATGTATTTTTTCCTCTAGGTCATGTAATTGAATGCTCATTCTGAAAATACAGCATTAAACTGTACAGCCTCACAGTTCCTGAGGAAACAGTTATCTGCTCCTTTAAACATGAACATATTTATGATACTTTGTGCATTTTTAAATTAATTTAAATAAGCAGATCGTCATCAACACTTTTGACACTAAAGTAGGAACGGGGTCTCATTCTCTGCTATATTACTCAATAAATGAGATTCAAAAGAAAAGCCCAAAACCCCCTGGAGTGACCCTGAAGCCAAACTCCAAGCCAAACCAGAGTGGCACAGATGCCTACCTGCAAGACTGACCATGCTTGCAAAGCCTTGCACTCAACACGTTGCATTGTATCTAATCACAGAACACAGGAAGCTTTAAGTGACACATCTCATCAATTCTGAAATGTTATCACACTGTTCTGGATGCACAGGGAGAGGAATCTATTGATTCTATAAATTCCTAAAACATGGCAGATAGTGAACTGCTGGCATCTGGTCTGCAGAGCTTTAAAGCAGCTCTGGAACTGTCTATAGATTAAAGTACACCCTGATGGAAAACATTAACACCTTCCACCGTGCTCCATCTTAGGTCTGTCTTCTGCCTAATACCTTCTAAAATTTTAAAATATTTTGCAATAGAAAATCTGGGATTTTTAACTGTTGGAAAATAACATGAAATAGAAGGGAGAAATTTAAAGTTTGATAATTTCTTACCATTTTACAGGGTGTTTTTCCTCCAAACTAAAGTTCCCAAAACATGGCCTTAGCTGGGAAAAGTATTTCTGCATGGCCTAGCTCTGTGGCTGGTAGATTGCTAACTGTGGAGCAGCATAAGTCTGCTTTGGTATGCTTGAGGAGATAAATGTAGGGACATAGCAGCATGAGCCTAAAGAATAATGAGGCAGGCAGAGCTCCCAACAGTGGAACAGTAGGGAATCTTCAGTGTCCCTGTTCCGAAGTGGAAAGGAAATAGAAAGTTCCTTACATAAAGAGCACAGAAGGGGACACAGGGAGTTTCAGGGAGAATGCACAGAACAGAGCACTCCAGTCTGCCTGAGCAGCTTTGCTTAGCAGAGCAAAGGAAGGGACAACTCTGCTAACAAGAAGGGCAGCGTTGGTAAAATGCTGGATTGTTTATTCTTCCTCATCGCACAGCCACATTAAATTTAAGCTTTACACTGAACGCAGTTCAAAGCCAGGAACTTCAGAGGAATTAAGCATATGAAAAAAATTACTCATGTGTGTAGTCCCATTAGAATCTACAAAATAACTTGAGAGCAGAGTTGCTCATGTGTTTAACACCGAATAAATACATTCAAATCATCCTCAGATCATAGGTCTGTCTTCTCTGTGCACTTCGTGGCTTGTTTATAGCATGAGAAAAATTCAGGGACTGCTTTTCCAGAATAGCTCCCCATGTGGACACACTTATTCTAGATTAAAACAGGCCCTTCTCTGAACTACTTTTCTTCTGGATAAAGGTATGCATATGAGGTCCTAAGATCATCCATATGGAAAATTACTTTGCAATATTATTCTACTTAAAGCAGAATTTCACTACCCTAATGTGAAATAACATTGAGTATTGGAATACATCAAAATTTCTGTTAAACATCAATTAAAGGAATCCTACACCAAGCAAAGTTAATCCAAATTCTACAATCCTGAACCCACTGAAATCTGATAACTCTTAGCCACAGTAATGTTAAGTTACTTGTCCTGGTATTAATTGCTTTCCTGCTAGACACACGTAGAGTTTGCAAGACAAATGCCAGTGTATCATCAGAGAAGATGAATAATACAGGTTATAAATGCAGTTTGTGATGGAAGTTGTGAAACAAACAAAAAAATCACATCTAGAATGTGATTTAGTTTTTAGTTTTGAAAACGTTAGGTATTAATAATTTCAGGAGCTATGAATAAAGCCAACAAATACTTCCCCATCAAATTCTTTTAACCATAATGCAGTAATATGTTCTCATTAAATCACTTTTTTACTGCTACAAAATATTGAGGATACTTAAAACTGTATTTGATACAGTGAAAGAAACTTTGCATTACTTGTAGACATATGTATATTACCTCTGTGTGTATGGAAAAAAATGGAATACAGATTCTCAGAAACAACATTCAAATGATGAAAAAAAGATTCACCATAGACAATTGCAACCCACATTTACAATTTTAGCAGAGGAAAATACCCAATGTACATGTATCTAAATGCACATACAAACCCAGCTAGCTACATTTTATTTCCCCTTGAACAACCATTATAAGTTAAATTATATATATTTTAGATGAGTTATGCCCTTGAGAATTACCTCAATTCAACCACTTCATTTCACGCAAACTAGAGGTTTTTACTTTCTCTATATAAAATGTTAAGATTTATTCATGCCTTTAACATACATTAATTAGAGACTACTTATAAATAACCTGCAATAAGAATAACTATTTGAATAGGATACAATTACTTAGGGCTTGTGTCTTTTCAATCAGTCAGTGTCCCTGCAGTGTTTAGAGTGGCAGAGGGGAAGTGGCCTGTGGTTAAACAGAGGAAATACCAAGGAATTTTAATAGAGCAAATAGTCTCTTTACTTCCTACAGGGTACTACTTCAAAGGCAGCCCTGCTCCACAGCAGACAATGTGTTAGAGGGGCCATCAGTCATTTAATAGTATGTCAAGTCTACTCAAAACTTACATGCAGCCCAAGATAAATACCACATAAGTGAGACAATGGGGACCATCCTGCAGTCATTACTCTAATAAATGCTGCCCTGCCCGCATTATGGAGGCAATCATGTGCAAGGGTGGTATTACAAAATCAGACCACAAAATTATAACTACACAATAAGACAAGGTATCTAATAAATTGGCTAGGGAAGTCTGAATTTGAAGCTGAAAATACAATAAAACCAGAGACTCGTATAAATATAATTGTATAAGCTAAAATGGTACATTAGTCGTGAGCAATAAAGACAAAGGGGGGTTATGCTAATCGGAAAGAGTGTAAGTTTTGCTGATCTAAAAGTCAGTCAAAATCATTTTTTAAAAGAACTATATTGTGGTAGATTCCTGTTTAACACACACAGTGACATTAATTATGTGAGCAAAAAAATAAATCCAGAACAAACTGCATCGACATATTTCTATAAACGTCAATATACATTAATTCAAGTCCATTACAAGTCAAGTACTACGACTTGTAATAGTGATAATTTACTTAATAGAAGATGCAAAACTTGACACAAATATACAGTGGTGTTATGAGCCTGTGGAATACCCTGCCCGTGTCTGGTGAAACACACAATAGAGGTACTGAGCCAAAACATTTTGCTGCTAATTCTGTTTAAAAGACTAAATAGGGGAGTCTAAACCTGTAACTGTTCCATCCAACACAAAGGTTTAGATCTTAAGCTTTATCAGGGTTTGAAGTTTGTTGTTTCACACTCTTCTTTTACATATTTCCCGATGCTTTCGCCTTTCTAAACTATGCCCCACAAACTTCTGAACTCTGTGTTTCAGCAACGTTCTCAAAGGATCTGATCTGAAACCAAGAAAATCCTTAGTGACAGTCTAACAAAAAGGAAAATCAATGAAAGTCAGTTGTGTTCCCTCCAGTGCTCCCGGATCACCACGCTTCAACCAAACCTGTAACCAGACATCAGGAGAAAAGAAGAAACCAAAACACACAACTCAAAAGTTACTAAAAGTATATTTTAAAAAATAAAGAAGACAAAGAATATAAAAAGCAATCGAGAAAAGTCTGACAGCAAAACACACCAGAAACGGGAACAAAAGGCAAAGACTAGTAACAAAACGTTTATCACCTTCCTCCCCTCTTCCCCCTCCCGTAAATTTCCTACATCCTCTGTATAATGATCAGGCCCGGAGCTAAAACCCCAAGCCGGCCCCGAATCATTAAAATAACAAAGCCCCAGCGATCGCTTTTATGCAGGTCGGCTCGGGGAAGTGGAGAGCGCTGGTGGTAAAGGACCTGTTGAGTGACTTCTTCACACTCGCCGGCTACGAGCTGCCTCCCCCCTCGGCGAGAAACCAATAAATATCCCTGGCCGGGAAATGCCACCCTCTCTCCCGGCCGCAATTAACTTCCAGATGCAGAGCCCCCGGGGCAGCGTTATTTGTTGCAGAAGTGTCCCCAGGGCAGCCGCTCCCTCCCCTCCGTCCCTCCTCCCCGCACGGCCGGAGCGGCTGCAGAGCCCCGCGGAGCTCCGCGCATCTCCCGCACTCCGCTGGCCCGGCCCGGCCGCGGCAGCACCGCTCGGCTCCGCTCGGCTCTACTCACCCTCCCTGCGCACGCCTCGGCCGCCGGGCCCCTCCTGCCGCCGCCTGCTCCGGCAGCGAGCCGGGCAGCGCCGACACAGGCGGCGAGGGCGAGGAGCGAGGGCCCGAGCTGCAGCCCCGGGGCCATGGTCCGCAGCGAGCCCGCCGCGGGGCAGGGCCGGCAGCGCTGCCGCCCGGTGCGTGCCGGTGTGCCGGTGTGCCGCTCCGTGCCGGTGTCTGACTCTGTGCCTGTGTGTGCATGCGCGCCCGGCCCGGGGGCGGGGGGTTCGCCCGAGCCCCGGCCCCGCCGCCCCCGCCCCGCTCCAGTCCTGGCAAACGGCAACAATGGGAGGGAGCGGAATTCCCTCCGGCTGCTTCGCTTTGCACCTTTCCCTTCCCGAGGAGCCGTCGGTGTGCGGGTGCCCCCGCTCCCCGGGACAGCGGCAGGCTGCTGCTGCCTTCCTGCAAACAGGGGGTCAAGCCAGTACCTGGCCGAATTGCCATCTTCGTGCCGTGGTGCGGTACCGTGTTCCTGATCCGCTCACTACATTGCAAGGAACAGAGGTACCAAGGAAGAACAGTCATGGATCTTTGACATGATTTCATGCATTACAGAATCAAGTAGGTTAGAAAACACCTCTGAGATCATCAAGTGCCATGCCCAATCTTTCCTTAAACACTTTCAAGGGACTGATTCCTCCATCTTCTGAGCAGTGCATTCCGAAGTCTAATCAACCTTATTGTGGAGAAATTCCTCCCAATGTCCAACCTCAACCTCCCTTGGCACAGTTAAATCTCTGTCTCCTTGTCCTGTTACAGCCTGGGAGAAGAGACCCCACAGGCTCCAACCTCCTTTCAGGTAGCTGTAGAGGATGATAATGTCACCTCTAAGCCTCCTCTTCTCCAAACTAAACACCACCAGCTCCCACAGCTACTCTTTAATTAAGGAAGACAAGCTGGAAGAATATACTATCATAAAATTTTCAATTGCAGAAAATGCAAAGGAAGTTATATGTGACAATAAATATTTCAACTTTTTCAACTGGAATTAACTCTGATATTATATGCTTTGATGAAAACGCTTTTCTTTAAAATAAAATAAATCACATTTCTGATAAATACCAAATGCAAGGTGGTCTAATATATCAGTAAGTTACATCCATTTCCACCCCTTTACCTCAAAGTCATACAAGAGACAGAGCAGCCCAAGGCTCCTCCAAGGCACAGGATGATTCAGCTTGGAAGAGACCTCAGGGGTCACTAGGCCCAACCCTCTGCTCAAAGTAGCCCTAAGTTCATTTTTAGATGAGACAGCCCAGGGCCTTGTAATACACCACATTTATGTATCACTTAACTCCAGTTATTTTGAAAACCTTAATTTTAGTACATTCTGTTTGCTATGATTGATCTTGGACAAAAACATCATCCTAATGGAACAAACACATCAGTATTTTATAAAAGACATTAAAATTTGGATTAAAATAGTATCTATTACCACCATTAAGGCAATCAGTTTAAAGGAAACATGACCAGCTGGTAATTTTTAACTACTATTTGTTTTACACCTATCATAGGTTTTCCATCCTTTGTGACTAGTGGTGAAAATAATACAATAAAGCTTTCTTAAACTGCTTGTTTAAGTTGATGGATCACAGCCCTGGCACTCACAGTTACCTTTGAAAACAGGTTTGTGGCTTTAGGATGGCTATAGCCCTTCATTGTGACATGAACAGAAGTCACATTTTTTACATTAAACTTTTTTTTTTTTAAATTAGCAAAAGTTTGAGATTAGGCCATAGTTGTTTGCAGCTCTGGGATCAAAAGGTTCTTACTTTTGATCTCCATTGCCCCTGCAGGCTTGAATTCTAAAAAAAAGTACTATTAAGTCTCCAGGTGAAATTCCACTGATTTTATAATGAGATATTTTTGATGGTCAAGTACATCCAGGTCAGAATGGAAGTTGAGCACATTTTCTCACTGTACCCCACACACTTCTGTCTGCTTTACTTTCTCCTTGCATTACTCAGAAGTGATCTAACAGGCTTGAGAACTCTATGAGCATTTTGATTTTAAATCAAGTCAGGCTGCATAAAACCTGTAAATAACTAGTCCTTTTATGTTTGAATGGATTACAAAGGACATAAAATACCACAGCATCGTGGCTAAAGAAAGGAAGACATATGAATAGTTCATTTACAGGTCAGTAAATACTCCTGCTTCCCATAACCACCTACGACAAGCAAGGATTCCTTGTTGAACATAATGCCATTGACCTGCAATTAAATCTTCTAAACCATAAGCAAAACTGTTTGGCTTTTTCTGTTAACTGAGATGGGAATGCTGGAGAAGTCTTAATTTTTAAATTAGGACAAAATTAGCCTTATCTGAGCTATTGATGTATTAGCCTATGATGTTTTCAACAAAAACTGACACAACAAATAGTGCCAACACCTTGGTAGCAGAACAACTGAAGAACTCACAGCTGCCACTGGTTACAGTACCCAGAAAGCAGCAAAATGATTGGTCATATTTACTGACACCTCAAACCCAGCAGCATAAAGCAAAGATGCCATCTGACAAAACCAGCATTGATACTCCATTCCCAAGAGTTCAGCCTAAGCTAATAACAAAATGACACGTCTGAAAAACAATTCCTCCTTACTGCCACCATGTCCAACTTATCCTGAGAGTGCACTGGCTGAAAACAGAAGTATTGCATTGCTTCGGATCCATTTAGAATAATTTCCACTGAAATCTTTGGTGGAAAACAGTAGTGGAGAGACAGGAGTCAAATGACTGCAGTTAAAGTTTCTAACTGGAGTCTCCAAACTGCTGCGACCTCATGGAAGGGCAAAAGTGGCTGTGGGGACCCTGCTCGTCTGTGGGTTCTTTTGTCCTTTTTACAAGAGTCTCTTGTTTCTGAGTAGGATAGAATGCCTAATATCCAAAAGTCATGGGTATCAATATCCTGCATTCTACAGCTGGTTTTGGTTGCCACTCTCCCTTCTTTCTTAAAGCTAAAATCTCTTTTTTTCCTTCCCCTTTTGGAGCAGCTGTTCCCAGATGGAGGAGACAGTGAGAACTGAGCAATTCCTATAAAAACATGAAAACTCATGTAACAAAAATTTTCGATAATATCGTTAAAAATTCCCTACAAAATCTTTCTATTGCTCAGCAAAAATCCATTCTTGGGACTTGGAAGCTGTATGCTTCATCCATTGTTCATATTTCTAGTGCTGAATTCTCTCCCAAGAGAGACTGACCTTGACTGCAAAAGAAATCGTTCAAACAGCTCACTTTGGGGCAGAAGGCATACATCAGGCTTGCAGAGTATTCAGCTAAGTCAGACAATCATGACTATTGCAATATCACAATATTGTAATAAGTCAGTAACTCCTGTTACAGATAGACACTGCTCACTGTTAGGAAATGAGGATGAGATGCAGTGAACCAAGCAGACAATGTGCTAAAAGAGATCCCAGAACAGAAATCCCTCAATGTGAAGGTCTTCTGGAACTTCATCTGGAAGATACCTGAAGACAGAAAAGCAGACATTTTGCAAGTACACATTTACATAAAATTGTCCCAATTCCATGGGGGTGGTTTATCTATGGGATGAGCACCGAGCATAAAAGAGAGGAAGAACCATCTTCCAGGATCAAATCTTAAGAACAAAACTAACACCTATGAAATGGATGTGGACATTCCCAGTAAGGGCATGAAAATTCCCACCTGTGTCAGGGGTCACAGAAATTCTGTTTCCATGGAAGCTTCTGTATTATAACAAAGCCATAGTTTCAAATGATCTGGCCAGGCTCAAGTGAAAGGTTATCAGCTGATAAGAAAGCAACGTCTAGCCACAAAATTTAAATGCAATTTGAATTAAATCTATCAATTGTTATGAACACCTATCTCATTCAAGGCAACTGTTAAATCATTGATCCTTGAGAAATATGACAAAAATTCATGAAACACAGAGTTCTCAAAGAAAAATCTGTATTAGCTGTCTCATTTTATAGATGGGGAAACTTAAGCACCAAGTCATAAAGGTGCCTGCTTTTATGTCTTGCACACATGCTCAGGGCTAAACCAATAATTAGATTTGGGGTCAGGAAAGACTCTGCACCTCAGTAAAACAGGGCAATGCCTTTGGTTTTCTTTGGTTTTAATTTGCTGCTTTCTGTAGAGACACACTCTACATGCTAAGGTCACCCAGATGGTACCAGTGGGTGCAAGCCTCCAGAATAATTTCTCTCCAGTGGCTGCTTCTGTCTCAGGATGGCAAAGAGCACCCAGCAGGCTGTCCTGGCAGCCAGCTGCCTCCTGCTGTGGCCACACATTTATTGGCACTTCTGGAGTAGCTGCTGCTGTGTCCAGATGGGAAAGTGGAATTAGATGCATGAATTCTACTTCACTGGCAGCCACCATTTCTATATCCAGATGCTTTGCAACAGGTCCTGAAACTGAGCATCCTTAGTCCTCCCTGCTGACTAAGCCAGACCTTCCAGAATCCCACAGTGTACCAGCAGAGATGTTTCTCTCCTGCTCATTTTTTTTTGTCACAGTGTCACGTTTGAGATTTTTCTCAAAAATCTCAAGTCTATCTCCAGATATTTGGGGATGTTTTGAGGCTTGTAGAGTTCAGAGACAAGGGAGTGAATGGTCTTGTGACCTTTCTGGATGACTTAGTCTCTTCTACAGGAAATTGCACTTAATGACCAGAGAAGTTTAAATCCTATATTCCTAGAGGCTCAAGTCAGCATCAGATGTAGGAGTATGTTATGGTGAAAAGGAAATGACTGAACTAAACCAAACAGCTATTATATGAAAATTACTTCTGATCACCATCAAATTAACAATTTGTCAGTGATCCATGGATGCAAATCTTCATATAATGTTACCCCTCCCCAGACCTCACAGTTGCCTATATTGTAAAGAGGCCTCCTTCTCCTGTAAGAAAATGTTTGCAGTCAAATGTCAATTTTCAGTATTTCTGTTTAATTTTGTATCATTTAATCCATATGAATGTAATAAAGGAAGTTCTCTAAGATTATTCAACTTAGTGATGTGCCACCAAGCACACTCCTCCCTGCTCCGAAAGCACACCAAAGTGACTCACCCTGTGGCCACATGTTGGTTCTGAGGGAG